TTTTTTCACGGGAATATAGACAATATAGATGTAAATGAATGAGGAAACGTAGGAGCAACTCATTTAAGATAGCGTTTACACTCTTTCATTCCTTGAATTATCACTCTCACTTTTGTTGGTTGGTGGCAGATTTTCAGTGATAGTGTGAGTCGATTTCAGTGCGGAATTTAATGCTTTATCTAAAAAATTATTTTACCTTTAAATTTCATTAGACTTCATACATTTCAGATTTTATGAATTTGAGGACTTACATTCTTAGTCTGTAAATATGGATTTGAAAATTTTTAATGGCTTTTGTGCAAAGTGCTGAGATTTATTTTTTTCTCACTTACAGAATTATTCTTCTATAGAAGATATTGAGTTAGGTGAGTCTTGTGTGTTACAATAACAATGCTAGGAAGCTGGATATGCCATGCATATCTCGTCATGTTTGTTATGAAATTTCTTACAGAAATTCATCTTGTCATTTGAAAGATCTGTGGGAAAAAGTCTGATTTGTTTATCTGTAAAACTGGATATTTAAGTGTCTGAGACCTTTTAGTCTCCTCAACTTGGTATGATTGTAACTGCTCCTATAGTGATTGTCTCATACTGTTCTCTTTGACGTGGGAAAATAAGGAGGGAAGAATATGCCAAAGATGTAGTAAAGTATCAGGTCTGTAACTTTTCCTGTCTTTTTTTAGTTTGAGTAATATATGAACACTGAGATATAGGTACACATGAATTGGAAGTTAGTGGAAGTTGGAAACATTTAATGGGTTTTGCTTAAGCATTCTTTGTGTTTCTTCACTCCCTCACCCCCCACATTGTCAGGGTAAAAGTTATGCAAGGTATTTTTACATCTTTCAACAAAAGTTCCAGTCATTCCCATCTTACCTGTTTCAGATTTATCTGACCAGAAGCAAGAGATGGTTTCTGCTGCTTCATCAAACTTTGTTTCTGAAGTGTCTAAAGTGTCATCAGTACCTGTACCATCTTTATCTTCTGTTATGCCTCTTCAAGTGGAAAAAGTTTCCTTGCCTTCTACAGTGCTGGCAAATGGAGGGAATGTTTCTTTCTCTATGCCAGAAGCATGTTTAGATTGTGGAGATGGAGATATAATTATTGGGGAAGAACTTGATGAATTACTTGATTCTGTGCCTGATCCAGATGAAAGTGTAATGGTAAGACTTTTTTGTTAATTTTCTTTCTCAAAAGATCCTTATGAATGGGATCTTGTATTTTTATCAAGTGGGCTAGTAGTGAAACGTGAGTTATCTTTCCTACTTACATTGAGCTGTATTTGTGCATAGTCGGGTTGATTTTTCTCAGGTGCAGATTCTTGCAAATGTGGCTGTAAAGATAGCAGGACCCAGCAGAGCTCCAAGGGCAATTACCTTGGGTTTTTGTGTTGGAAAACCTGAGTGAGGTTGCTGGGGGAGGGCTACCACTTCAGAAATACTGCTGTAGTAGTAGCAATACCACCACACTGGGAGGGATACTACCTCCAGGAAGTACTATGAAAAAAATGAAGTAGACATTTGAAGTCTGGGCTAGTGTGTTTCTTTTTTTTCATTTTTTGGTGCAAATAAACCCTTTCAGAACCTGAGAGTGTGTTGGAGCGCTCACCCTGTAGCTGTAGAAACTGTAGCTAAACATGCTAATAGCTTTGCAGGACAGCAGTACTTGTGCTCTTGTCTTCTAGTGTGTATGCTGTAGAGCTTTGTCCAGATCCCCCTCCTGGATAACCAGAAACAGTTAGACAATCATGAGTCTAACTGTTTATATTTTTTTGTAAGAGATTATTAGAGAAATTCAGGCACATGAAGAGTTATTCTTGCACCATCATTCCAGAGCTAGAACAGACTGTGAAGCATTCAGAGTTTCTCAGCTCTTAGTCAGAATGAGAGCTTCGATGGTTGAGCAGAGATGTCTGAACTTATTAGCAAGGTTACTGACTCTCTGCTGTGGCCCTGCCAGTTATTTGGAGCCCTCAGTATTGCAATGTTAAATGAGGCTGTGGCATATTTAATTCTTCAGTTAATTGTGATTTTTATTCCTCATTCAGCTGTGGATGCAGTTGTAAATCTTTAAATCAAAAATGCTTGGACTTCTAATACTGTTTTATGTACTTTGTTTGGTAGAAAGTATTTTGGAAATGTAGAAAGTAATTATTTTTAAGAGATCCTAGGAAGTTTGCCATAGTGAGAGCCAGGAGGAAATACAAACTTCCAAGACAGGCTACAGTCTTGTGTAGTGTAGAATCCTGAGGAAGTAGTAGGCTAACAACTTGGGGAACAGAGGGAGTTTCACGTTGGCCAAACTCTGGGCAGACCTATTTGGTCTACCTCCAGACAAGGGGGCAATCTTCTTGGGATGACAGGGAGAAGGGAGGGAAGCTCCCCCACTTGGTATGTCCTTAATGAAGGTGTACAGAAGGGTATGTTATTTTTGGTGGAGATCTGGCCTTTGCAGAACGTGCTATAATTTGATTACATCTGAGGAGTTATTTCAAAGCTAACTCTTAACCCTTTACTGTATTGCAATTTGAACTATTTTCTCTTTATTTAGAAAATAAGTCATGTTGCTTTCTGACTCTTCCTTGTTGTCTTATGTTTTTGACATAATTTGGAAGTTCAGCTCTGGTCTGATTCATTAAAAAAAATCCAGGTCTCTTAGTAAGTTAATAAACTTTAGCTAACTGAACCTTTAAAGTGGTTGATTCATGGATAATTCCTTGCATTAGGGCTTTGTTTTGGGTTTGATTACTGTAGTTCTCTACTGTAGCTCTGTACAGTACTGCAGTGTACCTTTTATTGTTGGTTTTTGGTAGGTTTGTGAAAACTCTGCTGAAGTATTTAGTATTTACTAAAAGCAATAGTATTGCATATTGTGTTCTTGAGAGGTCTTTTGCTCTGTGTGAACATTCTTTTTAAATTTCTTTTTTCCCAGCAAACTACAGGAGCCAGAGGACCTATTCCTGCAGGAAGTGTAGCTCCTAGCGTACCTTTCTCTGCCTCTTTGTTGGGGACGCTGCCAGTTAGTGCAGGATTTGTTCCTTCACCTTCTCTTTCCAAAATCTATTCACAGCCCTTGGCTTCTTCACTGGAAAATTTTTGTTCACCATTAAGCACCTTTTCAATCAGTGACCCAAAAAGAGGTAAGGAATGAGTCTTAATATTTAACCTTTTATGACGAGAGTGAGTTGTGCATGAACCAACTGGCTTCTCTTTTTAACAAATGAGTTTTCAGAACTATTCAGTAACATTTGACACATAACACTTCATCTGTGCTCACAGTTTTTGAGAGTATTGATAATCAGTGTTGGTTGTGCACAGGAATTTATAAATAAAGCTTTTGTTTACTTGGGGTCTGCATAAGCATGCTCCCAAGTTCCCTCTGTTCAGTTTTTCTGCATTTATTGTGTTACTTGTTTCAGGTGAGTAAGTATAAAGAAGGAACCATGTTCCTTCAAAGTTGTTTTTTTTTATTAAACAAAAGTGTTCTTACACCTTAAACCATTTCTGATGCTTTGGCAATAAACAAGATTTCTAAAAGGCTAATAAAACTGTGTACTTGAAAAGATACCAGTATTACATGTTTGGATTCAAACTCTAGGGACTATAATTATATGTGGTGAAATAGGGTATGTGAAATAACAAGATATAAATAGTCAGTGAACTAGAAAAGATAAAGTTTTGTCTGTAATTACCAGTGTAACAGGAGCATGCTCTCTTTAGAATGAAGCCAAATTTACAAAATAAAATGAAAAATAGAGGAATCCTCTTTACCCTCTGTTATCTCCTCATTTTTGATTAGCAGGTGTTGCTTATCTAGCTACCCTTTTAGTACTGCACAAGTATGTTCATGTTGCTTCAGCCTGTGCCTGTGAAGCTACTGCTGATGGTAATCAGATGCTTATGTTGAAGATGATTACCTAGTAATTTTTCAGCCCAGATGTTTACAAGGGGCTTTAACATAATTGGAAAAAAAAACCAATCATAGCAAACAAAAAACGCCTAGGTGTTTGTCAGAAAAACGAATCTTTGATACTTCTGCTTCTCAGGAATGATAAATATTTTTTTTCCCATAGGATGATTTGGGGAACTGAAATGATTAAAACTTCTTTTTATTCCTTTAGACCTTTCAAGTTCAGCTTCTAGAGATGGAACACCAACACTTAGCAGCAATAATTCCCCATTGTTTGTAAGTATTTTTCATGTTTTCTTTCACATCAGTTCAAGTGTTAGCACCTTGAAGGCTTAACATAGATTTTAATTTTTACAATAGAAGTTTCTATTTTTTAAAAATGGTAGTTTTACCATTAAAATATGATTCTGACTTGAAAAACAGCTGTACAGTAGCTCACAGCAGCAGTAATTGAACACAAGAAAAAATGTACAAAGGTGATTTTATGTATGCAAAATTTGACTACTGTCATAACCACTTTTCCATTCTGAGGAACTTGCTGTAAAATACTGTGAAAGTGTAAAATAACCAACCTAAGAGGGAGAAAAATCTCTAATGATCTGAGTGCCAAATATTAGGAATCCTGGGGAACTGTCCTTTTACAGGAAACTTGTGCCTTGCCTTGTGTCTGAGACTGTGTCTGGTCTCTGTGTTCTAGTCATGCTGTGTATTTTCAGTCGTGCTGCTGGCCATCAATTGTGTGGGGAAGGGTGGCATGAAGGATTGCATTCTCAAGAGCCAGCATGGAGTAGTAATTAGCCTGACAAGTGCTGTTCTTCTCCCTGTACCTGATTGGGTCATGTTATACGTTTAGTCTGTGCTGGGCATACGGCTTTTGTAAAATCTCCATGTCCCCTTCTTAGACATATGGTTAAGTTTGCATTGTAATTTTTTTTGTGTATAGTCTGTCTTATGCTTTGAAGAATAATTTCATTAGGTTAAATTTTAATTGTGGATAAATTAAATTATATGGATCCAGTAAAATATGCTTTCTTCCAACAGATAAATGGCCCTAGTAGTTTGTTTGGGTCCGAAAATTACATGGGAATTGCAGGCCAAACTAGAAATGACTTTTCAAATGTTTTTAGCAGTGCAGCTGCTAATATACCTGTATCTTCAGCACTTGCGGGAAGAAACCCATTAGAAGGCACACATGAGCTAAGACAGGCTTGCCAGTTATGTTTTGTCAAAAAAGGTAAGGGGTTTTTGGATTGAATTGGGTTGATTTTTTTTTTTTTTGTAATTATTATTTTTTTAGAAAAATGTTTATAAGTTAAAATACTGTCAGCTTCTAAACAATGTTAATCCTGACTTCTTCTTTGCAGATGTAGTACAATCTTATGATTAAGGAACTGGTGAAATGTTTCAACAACTATTTTATCTTCTTTCTGCTTGTCTTTATTTCTGGTCCTAATAGAGTCTTGATTTCTAAAACTGCCGCAAATCACCACATGCTTTCCCCAACCTGTAGGTTTACTATGTAAGGTCGTTCACATTCTGTATTCACTTTCCTCCCAACCCCCAGGGTACTGTGAAGAATGACACCTTTGCTCAAGACTAAAAAAAACTTGCAATACTCTCTCTGATTGGCCATGGGGAATTGAACTGCAGTTCAAAGTACCTGGTAACCTTCACATCCCATCTGTTTTATCGTTCTTTTCAAACTAATTCTAAATCATAATCCTGAGGCTTTCAAACCTTAGTAATAATTAACTCCACTGTATTGACTCAAAGGATCTTAACCAGTATTGGGCTTTAATTTAACTAATCTTCTAGGCCTGAGCTGTTCCTGTTAAACAGAGCCGTATTTTTAGAGGCAATAGCTTTTATTAAGACTAATCTTAAAAATAGGCATTGTGTTTCAAGTTAGAGGTGTCATTGCTATTGATATACTAATAAAGAATTGCATTGAGACATTTAGGGGATGACTATTGTAGTTTTAAGAGCTTTTATATTAATTTAGAAGTATTTTTACAGGAAAAATCCATGATGTTTGAAAAACCCTAGAACACATTCTGTTAAAAGCAGGAGCTGAAAAATATTGGTGGAAGTACTTAGCATGTTCCTAGCTTCACTTTTTGTATCTAAACATCTATTTTTTCTGTTTCTTTGCGTCTGTATCAAAGCCTTTAAGTGTCTCCTGCTTTTACTACCTACTTTTGAAATTGTACTGTTCCATCAGCTTCTTGTCCAGGGAAACTGGGTCACATTCTTGTTTTTGTAGTCCTTTAAATAGCAAAATCTGCTCATCTTCAGACTCCTCTGTTTCTTCATTTTGATGGTAATGTAATCTTCACTTTAGTTTAATCCTAAAGACAGAGTTTAAAGCCAGGCATATTTTTGTTTCCAAAATGACAAAGTTCTGGGATTGGCGTTTATATTTTTGGCATGTGTGTACTTCTTAGCCAGTGTGTTTTGTCTCTGAACATAGTAACTGTTCTAATACGAATAAAAGTTGATGGTTAAGAGAGCTGTTTACTGATCTTGGAATTCGTCTGCATTGACTTACTATAAATAGGCCGTTTAAGTTTCAAATTAGTGTTATGGAAACATATACTCTGGAATTTGAAAAACTCGCAGCAATTTGTTGCTGTCTCAAAGTAATCTTCAGGTTGTAACACAGCATCCCTCCCCAAATAACTTGTGGGTTTTTTTCTCTGCAAGACTGGTCCTTTTGTAAGTATTCAGTTTTTTCTACTCTGCTCAACATGGCTGTTCATGACTCCTGGTTCTTCAGAGGTGCTGGTGCAAGTAGGAATTCTTCACGATGTGTTAGTGTACTTTTGCTTTTGGGCTTATGTGCCAGTCTGCATATGGAAATGTTCAAAGTATTCTGCAGTTTATGCAAATATAAGCAGTTTTCTGTGATTGTTTCAGGTCCTAAATTGTTGGATTATGCTTACCATCCCAGTTTAGAACATAAATGTAAGAAGGATATTCTAATTGGCAGAATAAAAAACTCTGAAGATAAATCATGGAAAAAAATACGACCAAGACCAACAAAGACACAGTATGTGGGACCATATTATATATGTAAAGGTACGTGTTACAGATGGTAAAATTTTAATGCCTGCACTCAAAGTAATGAGTTCCGTTTTTCCATAGCGAAGTATAGATGAGTTTTTGTTCTTGCTCATGGGAGGTGGGGAAGGAAGTTCACTGTGTTGTTTTTATTTTCAAAGGCTCTATGGAGAGACCTATTTTGACCATTAACGTGATTATTTAGAGAATGTGCACTGTACTTCTGTTCATTCATCCTGAGTAACTTTGCTTCTGAATGCTGTGCTGTTACTATTCAAAACAACAACAACAAAAGCATTCTTGTTAGACTTTTGCAGTATGAACCTCTACTTACAGTATAAGCAAGAGAGGACTCGTGGTTTAATTAACAGCTATGTTTAAGCAAAGGGTATTCTGGGTTTTCAGCAGTGTTGCCTTAGACTGGAAAAGGATAGTTGATGGAGGTGTGCATCAACCTGTCCAAGGAGTTCTAACATTTTCAGCAAGTCATTCATCATAAGGTTTTGCTTCTGTCTGCCAGACTTAAGTGACCTATTTACTACAGATGTAGTTTCTTTATTAAAAGCATTTAAAATTGAGATAGTGGAAGCTTTAAGATGGATTTCCAATAAAAGTTGTGTAAAAGCAATGTCATATTCAATGTTGCCATTTTAGATGTCGCTGCTGAAGAGGAATGCAGATATCCAGGTCACTGCACATTTGCATATTGCCAAGAGGAGATTGATGTGTGGACACTGGAGCGCAAAGGAGCCTTTAGTCGAGAAGCTCTTTTTGGAGGAAATGGAAAGATCAACTTGACGGTGTCCCGACTTCTTCAAGAACATCATGGATTATTTATGTTTCTTTGTGAGGTGCTGCTTTATTTCTAATGACACAATAAAAATTATGATAGAAAATAAAATTACCTGTAAAGAAATGCTTGGTTCATGCATGAGTATTTTGTAAATTTTGAAATGGATGTTCAGTAATAATCTGTCTAGCTTTAGATTACAGACTAGTTGAAGTTGAACTGTTAAAATCTTTAAGGTAAGGTATATTTTCAAATGTATAAAATAAATACTCTGTAATTACCTGCTTTTGTATTCCAGAAATGTTTTGATCACAAACCCAGAATAATAAGCAAAAGGAACAAGGATAATTCATCTTCTTGTTCTCACCCTGCTATGCATGACTTTGAAGATAACAAGTATGTCTGAAATACCATCTCTTTAACATTCAGATTAAAAGCAAAAGTTCCAGGGTATTTTTTGATACTTACTTTCATTTCTTACCTGTTGATTAACTTCTCTCTTCCTTGGTAACAGACTGTTATGCTTTGGCGGTTTTGATAAGACAAATGTACTGAACAAGGATTGTCCTATGTAATTGAATTGGAAGTGAACTATTTCTTTATCAGTGCATTCAAAATTAGTGGTATCCACCCTCATGTTTGAATCTTACAGGTGTTGGTGTCAGTTTGTTAATAGCTTATCTACCTGGTGAGCTGCACTGATGTAAATACATGTGTGATGTTAAATTAATATACAAATTTGTAAGCTTGCTCTTTCTTTGGTATGTTTTGCTTATTTTGCTGTAGTTTTTACTTAGTTGATTAAGAACAGGTCTACCTTAATTACAGTGGCTGAAATAGACCATAGTCCTTACTAATTCAGTTGATAAAAAGTAGTGTGAGGAAAGTGTCTTTAATGATTTTTTGAAAGGTAACAAAGGCTTCATAGTGGTAATAGTGTTAAATAAGTTTTGGAGAATTAATTAGTCTTACATTTTTATATGATGGAATTATAAGCGGGAGCATTTTAATTGCTTTGTTTGTACTCCACTATATTGAGGAAACACTACAGCTGTGAGAGCTACGCTCTTAACTGTGATGCATCAACTCTTTCTTTAATGGTGCTCTACAAAAGTAAGTACTTGTGTTTGTAATTAGATCAGGAGATATACTTGAAAGTGGACTTTCCCTTTTGGAAACCAGTGATCCAGTTGGATTGAATTCAGTAATGCTTTGCAGAAGAGAGACCTCTCGATTTCACAAGAGTACCATTTTGTGATGTTGGTTTACTCATCTTAGAAATTATAATTAGATGCTGCTTCCTTCTGGAAACTTTTTTGGCTTTCTGATTTCATGTAGAAAGTGTTAAAAAGACATTTGAATCAGCTGTGTTGAGGGATGGTTATTTAACAAGTTTTTCCACACATGAACAAAGTCATTTTAAGGAATATCTAAAATTGACTTTTTTCAAAACAGGTGCCTTGTCCACATTTTGCGAGAAACTATGGTGAAATATTCCAAAATCCGCCCTTTTCAAGTTCGATGTCAGCTTGACCTGTGCAGACATGAGGTGCATTATGGCTGCTTACGAGAGGATAAATGCTTTTATGCTCACAGTCTGGTAGAGCTTAAAGTTTGGATAATGCAAAAGGAAACAGGTATGTTTGGCAAAGTGCTCGCTTCACTTTTCATTGTAATGCCACTTCTTCCTTGTCTCGACTCCCTCTGAAATTAGCAACTTGGGATCAGTGCATTCACTTAAAATTTGCTGGAATCTTTCATACAGCATACTCGGTAAACAGTAACGTAAATATGACGAAAAACACTGAGTAGACTACTACCTATTCAAAATCAGCTAGTTTCTGATAGTAAAACCTGTCAAAACAGTTCATTATGTTCAGATATTTTTTTCCTGAAATAAAACTCAAAGTCTTGAGCAGATATTAAATCTAAGTCGAACTAGATTTGGTTTTATTTTTAAATCCTCAGAGCTTGGAAGTTCTTGATCAAATTTATTTTTCACAGAGCACTGAAAGAAAAGCTTGAAATATTTTGTTTATGGCATTGTTTCCTTCCATCCCCAAGTATAAGAATCACATTTTTCCACAGTTAGAACTTTCTTTTAGCTTAGTGTCATTCTGATATTCTTATGTAGTGAGCCAGAAAATAAATCTTTCTATTTTGCTAACTCTGTCTCTCGTTAGTGTATGTGTTGATAAAACTTAACTATTTCTCTGTTCTTGTTTACACAGGACGTATAGGCTGCTTTTTGTTGATCTTGCTTGGTTTTGTTGGCTTCTTTGAGGATAACAAATTTTAGTATTTCATTTCTAGCCGATCACTTTTGAACAACACGTTTCTGTATTTACAGTCCATTCCTTGGTCATGAGTTCCAAACTCTCCATGACTTTTTTTCTCCCCTTTGTTTTTTTAAAGCAATTGGACTGTTAGCAGTAAATTAATTTGTACCACACAGGAGTTGCTCATTCTTCCTGTCTTGCTCTGTATGACAGCAGTACTTCACATGTTAAGTGATCATGTTGGATTATTGTGATGCACAGAAGAAAAAGGGAGATGTGGCAATCCCAATGTGTTACAGTGTTTCGGGCATTTTTGCCCCTTTAGGTCTGTGATTTATCCTCACCTATCCCTTCTTTGAAGGGGCTCCTTGTCGCTTCAGCTTTCTATCTAGATTCTTGTACAGGCATACTGACACAAGATGTCATACTGACCTGAAAATTTTGGAGGAAGAAAGTCAAATAGAGACAAGAGATGACTGTTTCATTGCTGATTTCCTGTTCTGTCTCTCCTGGGATGAACCTTTAGAAGTTTCTGTGTGAAAGTAAAACAGTTATTTTCTTATCAGCTTCCCCTACAAAGTCAAGAGTATCAAATACTTACACTGCAATTTCTATTTTGAAGTCAGGGTTGGATTCTCCAAGAAACTTGATTTGCCACAGAAAGCATATTTTTTATTTTATGATGAGTTCACGCTGCCCTCATGCTTTGCCAAAGTCAGTTTGCTCTTTGAAGAGCTCAGTCTCTGCTCTTTGAATGAGGTTCCTCTTCTGAATGTAAGGTGTGGGAAGTAAAGGAATGCTACCTCAGGAACGAAACATTTTACCAGCCCTCAAATCCAAACACAGGTGACAGTCTGTATTTGTGTGGAATTAGAGCAGTAAATGTTACAGTATGTGTGAATACTGTATAGCTCCAATAGGAACCGTAGCCAAGGTATTTATAAGAATGTGTTGTGGTTTTTTTTCTGAAACAAAACCTAGTTAACAGGGCTTGTTTAAAATCTTTGTAAAGGAGGCAGAGGCAATCTAGTGTCCGTCAGCTTGCATTTTGGATAGTTTTTCTGTGGTCTGTAATACAATGTAGCTTTTCTAATTAGATTGTCATTAGAGGTTTAGTACATTATGTTTAAATAAATACTCGAACATGAACAGTGAGTTACTTGAGCCATCTGTAATTTAAAAAACTTTGATATTTGCTTTTTGATGTAATATATACAATATGTGTGTTTTGGCGGCCCTTGTGAGAGTCTTCAGTGTGTGTGTATGGATGTAAACGTATATATCCACACCCACACATGAGTGTGTGTATATGTATACAATATATAAAAAGAAAAATAGATAAAAGCTTTGGGGCTTCAGTAGCATTCCAGTTTGAGCATCTCTGTAATTCTGCCACAGTCGTAAGAGCTAAAGAACTTTTTCCTTTCCTTTTACAGGTATTTCACATGATACTATCGTTCAAGAGTCAAAGAAGTACTGGCAGAACATGGAAGCTGGTGCACATGGATCACAGGTATTTTCGTTTTTCCATTAAACTAATTTTACAGTAATTTTGGTGATAATTCTTTTTCTATTTCTGCATATAATGTAGCTTATTTTAGAAATTACTTTTTTAATGCTCTCTTCAAATAATCTCTCTCACTGTAGGCTGTCTTAGGCTTGCTCCATTTACACTAAATGTCTGCTTTGCTTCTATGCAATTCCTTTTTTGCTTTGCTTATTTTGTCATAGGCAGAACATAAAACCTAAATAAAATTTCAAAGCCAGCTTCCATAGGGCAATTCATTATCGTTCTGATATGTAGGACTTTTATGTGTTTAGTTTGTATATATTACCACAACTTCTCTGTACATACACCTAAATCAGAAATAAGTTAAGTAAAAATGCATGTTAAGGAATGTCTTATTGGAAATTACAAGTTACAATACATGTGGTGTAACATCTGCTTCCAGACATGTGTTGTAAACCTTTATCGTAGGGGGTGATTCATAACTATGTATGGATTTCTTTGCAGATACAAAATACCTTTTATTGTTGTTGTTATTTTTTTGGCTTAAGATCCTTGGGAACCAAATGAAATATGGATCACTTAATTTGAAGATGAAGTTCGTTTGTGGTCAGTGCTGGAGAAATGGCCAAGTTAATGAGCCAGACAGAAACAAAAAATACTGTAGTGCAAAGGCAAGACACCCGTAAGTAAGACCAAACTGAAAATTTTACCAGTTTGTCAGCCATTTAAAACCTCTCTTGGGAAACTTTGTTACTGGTTAGGAAAGTGTCGTACAAGGAATTAAAAAAAAAAAAAAAAAAGGCAACATTGAAGCAGAACACAGTCATCTCTGTAGTATAATTAATAATTGGTAATAAGAAACATTTCGGTGGCTGGTGTGGTTTGGGTTTTTTTAATTATAATCAGTTATGGTAAAGTTTCAGTAGAATTTAGTTAATCTTGAATAGATGGTGACAGCTTTATAAAGAACCTTTCTGGGCTTTCCTGGTTCTGCTTCTGTGTACACTGTATCTCTCTTTAATAGTATTTTCTTTCATTGAATGCATCTGTTTTTTAGATGGACCAAAGATCGCCGTGTGGTGCTAGTGATGTCTAATGAACGCAAGAAGTGGATGACCATTCGTCCTCTTCCCGCAAAGAAACAAGTGCCTCTGCAATTTGATGTATGTTAACCTAAAACTGACGTTTTAGTGGAGAAAATAGGGTAGCTGGAAAACACTAGTAATTGGTTTCATCAGTGCTGCAGAAATTTCCATGGGAGTTGGTGGGAGTATGTTCATAGTGTTTCTGCAGAGTTCAGCCTTAGAAAAGCACTGGTCTCACACACTACTACTGGAGCCCTTTCGCACCAGTGGAAGTCAGTAACTTCTTTAGTGATTTAACTGAGTTCTTACTATTTCCAGTAAACATTTCAGAAATACTTGACACGTATTTGTGGTCTGGTAATCTGGTAGGGGGCAAAAAGCAGTCATAGTACTTGCTTCCAGCAGTTTGCCTTTTCTAACTACAATGTAGTAACCCTGATTTTGGTTTTTTTGTGTGATATAAACGTCTGATTGGGAGGGGAAACACTAGCGAAGGCTGAAAGAAAATTGTTTTCTACTATCATCCGTTTTACTTTATATTCATGAAGATTTTTTTTTTAATTCATGTTCCAGTTGTGCAATCATATTGCTTCAGGCAAGAAATGTCAGTATGATGGAAACTGCTCATTTGCTCACAGTCCTGAGGAAAGAGAGATGTGGACTTACATGAAGGAGAATAGCAGTAAGTAGAAGAGTAAATCTAACATGTTGTAAATCTAACTGTTTTGCTTTTTTCTCTTACTGCTTTTTAATCCACTTTCTTTCAGTGTTTTATAGTAAACCTTGCAGGTGCTGTGTTTTGGGGTTTGGGTTTTTTTGTTCTTTTGTTTGTTTGTTTGTTTTTTGAGGGGGTGTTTTTGTTTGTTTGTTAGTTTGTTTAATTTGAACAAGCCCAGACTGGGTATTAAAAAATAGTATTAAATAAAAATAGCTGTATTGTTATATATTTGTTGCTTGATGTGTTTTTTAACAATAGAGTAGCTTGTATCAATTTTTTTAGATGTCTCAGAAATAGTACATGGATCCATGCAGCAATATTGTTTGATGTTTATACTCTGTATTGCCATGTGCACACACATTCTGTTGATAACATATGGGGCCAAGCTGTTTGCAGAAGAATCCCCCGCCCTGCAGTATATTTACTGGGAATTACTATTCACTTTTTTATCCCATTAGAGTGTTACTGGGGAGAAATAGTTGAAACTTGAAAGTAATAAATGACATAAATGATAATATCATGGTCTGTAAGAAAGCAGACTAGACTTCAAAAATTGTAGGATACTTTATATTAGTGCTTTGAAGTTCAGATATTGATACACAGTGGCACAGTTGTTATCTGCACACTGGGTGCCTGTTCATACTTTCCCCTAGATAGGCAGAAACGGGTCTTGCTAAGTAGCCAGAGATTCATATTACTCTTGACTCTTATCTTTAAGTGTGTAACTGTCTACATCGTGTCCTTCCTTTTTTCTTCTTACAATAGGTGGGGACTGAATTATGTTTGCAAACTCAGTCATTTATCTAGTATTCTCAAACTCTTGCCTTAATTGCTAATTACTTATTTTAGCTTCTGCTCTCATTAGTTCAAGACTTGGAGCAGTTGTATGATATATGGCTAAAAAGTCAGAAACCAGAAAAAGGAGATGATACAACTGCTCAGGCAAACAAAGAAAATGGGAAGCAAATTCACATGCCGACTGACTATGCTGAAGTTACAGTAAGTAATCATAGGTATAGTTGTAAGTTCAAACGTGGGATTTTGTTCTGTGTGGGTTCCCCCCCCCCGTTAGTAGCATATGTTGTTGTCATTACTTCCTTCGTGCTTCTTTAGATCATAGCTAGCTACACTAAATGCAGACTTTAACTGACACCGTAAAGCAGTTCTTCTGAATCCTGTAAAGTCAGCGGAGATCGTAAACTTCAGGTGATTGTTTAAATAACTGTATCTCTTTAGGCAAACAGCAATTTACAAGCCAACATAAAGAAAACATTCAAAATGTATTAGGAGCAGTTCTGTGCTTACATTATTGAATTCTCAGCTTTTTGTTTTCAAATTCCCTGTAAAACAGGTGGATTTTCACTGTTGGATGTGTGGGAAGAACTGTAATAGTGAGAAGCAATGGCAGGGTCACATTTCTTCTGAAAAGCATAAAGAGAAGGTTTTCCACACTGAGGACGATCAAAACTGCTGGCAGTATCGCTTTCCAACTGGATATTTTAGCATTTGTGATAGGTATGTGGTTTTTAAGATGTCAAAAATGCTGAAAAATGATAGTTCATAGTGTAAATAATTAAGGTGGTTATTAGTTTTGACAGAGAATGTTTCTAGAATTTCTTGCTTTGCATGCATCTTTTAACAAGAAATTAAGTAATTAACAGTATTTTAAGACATACCATTAGAACTCAGGGAGTGACAAGGTGCCTAATTCTTAAATGCAGCTTGTTTATCTGACTTTTTGTAAATCTGTTGAAAGTTCTTTCCACTGTTGGAATCTTTTTGGAAGGCTAAAAACTTTGGAATCTGCATTCTGGAGTTAAAGATTCAATTCGCTAGTACAGATACCTTTGTTACTCCATTTCAAGGTAAAGATTTTGAATGCCTTGCAGATCTTGAGAAATTGCACAGTGTATAAAGCAAGTTATTTTTTGTTTGCAGTCTTACATGGAAGCTTACATTCCCCTTTACTAGATTTTTAGGTTACATTCTAAATGTATGTGATGTTTTGAACACTGACAGACCTCAGATATGCAGTATGAAGTGAATACAGATGGGCATGCTTATGACTTAATATAAAAATGCTGGGGTAAAATAGATTCTTAAGCCATACTGAGTAGTTAAAAACAAATTTAGTTAACAAAGGTTAATTGATCAGTTAGATTATTTTTTTTTTTTAACAATAATAGTTCTTCAGTTTAGTGAGTTAAATGATAAGGTATTCATTTACCTGAAATTAAAGGTTTCAGGCATTAAATAACTCAGTAAAGTAGGAGCATGAAAAGCAGAAAGAAAAGAGTCATCTCTGGTCCTCTGTAAATACTTGACAGCTGGGAAAGAAAAATGTAATCGAATGCTAAACAGAGTTAGTATCATCTTACTTAAATACTTTTCCAATTATTTTTTTTCGTCCTTAATATTGTAGTGTATTTGAAAAACATGACCAGAAGAAAATACCTAGACGCAATAGTGATCATGATAATTCTGTGAAAACACTATTTGAAATCTATCTTAACAGATATATGGCTGGTACTTGCACTGAAGGAAACAACTGTAAATTTGCCCATGGAAATGCTGAACTCCATGAGTGGGAAGAACGAAGACAAGTTTTAAGAATGAAGCTCAGCAAAGCGAGAAAAGACCACTTGATTGCTCCCAGTGATAATGACTTTGGAAAATATAGTTTTTTGTTTAAAGATTTAAACTAATACTGAGAATGACACATACACGTTATCAGCTGGAAGCATAAACCAGAAAATTTGACAATAATCAAAAGCATGTGACAGAAAAGCTGCAGGTTTTCTGCTTTTATTGGCATATATTGTTCCTCCTGAACGGCAAAATATAGTAGATTTAGGGGGATTGAGCAGACCTGTCTATGCTCTCATGAAACAGAGTGGTGATTAAAAAAATCTGAAGTATTATGTGCTTACTCACCTTCTGTTGGACAGAAAGTTAGGAAATAGAAAGGGGGAAGAGAGGTTATAATATCTAGGAAGCCCCCTAGTATCAGTCCTTCAGTTGAAAAACTTTAAGGTATCAAGGTATTACAAAACAGAGTGTTACGGGCTAAGAAGAAAATGATGGATGAAAATTCTTCAGATCTTTTAACGGAGAGGATTTGTTTAAAACAAAAGTTTGCTACTTATCTATATGTAGGTTGCTAAAAAGGATTTTCTTATTAAAGATTTTAAACAAAATAACCATTTAACTACAATATATGTTGAATGGGTATTTTTTCTCTATTTGTATGTTTCAATATAATTTACTGAAAAAGGATCTTGGGAGGAAAAGTATTAATTTTTGAAAATGAAGTAGTTAAAATTCTGTTTCTTGGTCTTTGCTGTTTAAATGATGATTTTGAAAGATTACACTTGTATGTCAGTATTGTGTATTATTGTATGGACTAATGTTGCCTGTAATAAAGAGAACTTTACACAAAGCTGTTTTTTGCATGTAGCCTCTCAGGATTGAGATTTTGTAAAAACAAACAGTGATTTGCCTATTAGCAAAAGCTTGAGCGCCTGTAGCTGAAAATTTACTAAGTTGGTATTTGTGTCTCCAGCTGCTTGTGTGCAATTTTCAGTATTGCCATTAGCTCATCACTCAAATAACAAAAATGGCCAACTAACTTGTGAGATGGACAAGCAGGCTGGAGCTGCGCGGTGCTGAGATGTGTTCAGCCTTTGGACTTGGGCATGAGCCGCCACCTCGGCTGCAAGGGGGATGGCTCTTCAGGTTGCATTTCCTGCAGAGCCCAGGGAATGGAGAACTGGAGATGACTTCTGACTGACGAGCCTTTTGGCTTTACAGTCTCTGCAGCCTCTGTTCTGTTTTGGCTTTTCTGCAGATTGTACTTTCAGCTTTCTTTGTGTGTTCACTTCATTATTTTTTTTTCCTTTCTTTTTTTTTTTTTTTTTAAACTAAGCTTCTTTCACTCGTTCGTTCAAAATCGCTAAAGCTAGGTTTCTTTTTTTTTTTTCCCCCATGACTGACTTCGCCCTCCTCTCAAGAGTATTTTTCTCTGTTATTGGCTGACCTTACATAATTAGAAGAGCTTTAAGAATGACTTCAGTAGTTTGAATGTAGTCGTTGGCCATATATTGTGTAGGTAAAAAGTGTTGAACCAAAGTTCAGTAATACTCATACACATGACAAGCCTGGATGCTGTGTCCCTTTCACTTCACAGAATAAAAGCACAACGAATATTAAAACACCACCTTGTGCTTCAGCCAGACCTAGAGGAACCTGGGATATGGCTGTTCCTTACAAGCTAGGCTGAAGTACATTTGAACATGGTGTACGGTATGCATAGGAAGTGGCTTGGTGCTTGAAATACCACCTGCTGCAATGCTAATTTTTTACATTGTTTGTAATAAACTGAGCTTGAAATAGAGTACTATGGACACTGTTGTTTCTGTGACAAAACCTGATTGTATCGTGTGCCTTTCTGAATTGTTTTCTCAATTTTATGCTGTCATTGTTTAATGTAAGTGCTCTGTAAATTATTGGAAGTAATTCTAGACAAAACTAAACATGAAATCCTTGTTCTGTAAGGACGGTGTGAAATCGTTAATGGCTGCAGTGTGGGGGCTGTTGGGGAGGAGCTGCCGGAGGGGGCTCGGTCCTCGCAGAAACAGCGGAGTCGCTGGGAATTTACTCCCTCATCCCGGTGACGGGAACGGGAAGCACGTCCTGCCCG